ACTTGGGGATAAAAAATGGTCAAAGTTTGCCTGGCTTCACTCTGCTGCTGGTATAAGAAGCAATTACATCTTACAGGTGGAAATGGTGCAGTTTGGCAGAGGATAGAAAATCTTATGGGGATAATTGAAGGACATCGTCACCAAGCAGCCTGCAAAGATGAAAAGGCTCAGCTCTTCTTGGCAGGACTGCTTATTCAGGGAAAGGCCCTTGAATGATTTATGTTGGTGATAAAGGATGGATGCCTGTGTAGATCCATCAAAGAGCTTCTCTCTTCACCTTGGACTTTCCCAATTGCTACTCTGAAGGTTAAGGTTTGCGTGTCTCAATCATTAGCAATTAACCTTGATTTGCCTACATTACACACAATAAAATATGTTGATAATCTAAAATACCAATAATCAGAAAGTCATTTAAATTTAGATTCATTCAGATGGCTTTGTGGCATGATTTACTTTAACTGAGGATCTGTTTGGATTGAAAAGATTTGGGGTTCACATGTTGCTGAAAGAGGAAGCTAGCTACTCTCCCTTTCTGAGTGCGTCATGGAGCCTTGGAGGCTGCCAGATAGAGCTAGACAATACATTTTCTCCGTATGTTATTTAGCACCCATAGATTTACAAGGGGGCAGAGATACATTTTGAGAAGCAAAATACTAGAAGTGTGATTTCTTCAAGGCTCACAGATGCAGAGAACTAGGGATGGGTTTCAGGTGGTAGAGTGTTTGCCAGCATGCATGAAACTGTACATTTGATCCCAATAGCACATAACTGTTCATGGTGTCTAGGCCAGTGATAACAGTACTTGGGAGGTAGAGGCAGGAAGATCAGGAATTCAAGATCATCTTTGGCCACATGAAAAGTTCAAGGTCAACCTAAGGTTCAGAAATCCTATCTCAACACGCGCGCAAGCGCGTGCGCGCGCACACACAAACACACACACACACACACACACACACACACACACAGAGAGAGAGAGAGAGAGAGAGAGAGCATTCAAAGATGTAAACAGGTCAGGATAGACTGGATGACAGTAACAAAAGTGAGACAGTGCGATACTCAGGAGGTCTTTATCAACTAGAAAGAGGGAGAGGGGCCAGTGAGATGGTTCAATGTGTAAGGATGCTTACTGTAAAAGCCTGATGACCTGAGTTCAATCCCCTGAACCCATGTAAAGGGGGAAAGAGAGAACCAACACCCCAAAGTTGTTCTTTGACCTCCACATATGCAGCAAGAAAATCACATCCATGAATATCTCCCTGGCCCTAATGTTAATAAAATTGTTTGAGTTTACAAAAGAGGGGAGGCTAGATAGGTGGCAGGCACACCATGCCTTGGTGAGAAGTATTGGTTCTGGTCACAGAGTATAGTAATGACAGAGCATCTTCTTCTGAGCCATCTTGACAATACGAATACCATTGGGGGAAGTGGGTGCTGATGTCTAGGAGTTTTATCACTGCAGACGTGCACTCTCCAGGAGTAAAATGATCATGACTAGTCCTACAGAGAACTAGTTTTCATTTGTTTGGTTTGGTTTGGGTTTGGGTATAATGAAGACAGCTCTGGGCAAATGGCAGGTGGCAAAGGAAACAAGAGACTGTATTAGCAGGAGATAGAAGAGCAGTTGTGTGGCCGGGCTTCCCCATCTCACAATAAGGTAGGGGACATATCTGATATGGCTCGGTGAGTTCAGTCTAGTCTTGAGGTGGGTGAGATGAAATATCTGCCTTCTCGGAACATTAGGGTTCTTCGTTGAGCTCAGTTCTCCTTAGGAGCCCCTAGGAATGTGTAGGAATTAAAAATGTATTGGAACTGTTTCTGTGGGAGGGTAAAATATATGATAAAATGTTTCTGATCTGATATTTTGTAAGTCAGGAATCCAGGAGAGATTTAGCTTGAAGGTCTTGGTTCAGGAGCTCTCATCATGCTGCGTGCCAGCTGCTGACTGGGTCTACAGTCATCTGTAGGCTAGAAGGTCATCTTCCAGACATAGTCATGTGGTTGGGAGCAGCACAATGAATGTTTGCCTCAAACTTTTGTTCCATGCAACATGGGTCTCTTCATAGCCTTGTTCAGTTAAGGCTGCCTCAGCAAATGCCATGGGCTGGCTAGTTTAGTTCTTGGAGCAAAAATCTCTCAGTGTCAGCATGGTCAGTTTTTGGAACCACCATCTTCAGAATTGTAAAAGCTGTCTTCTCACATGGTGGACATATAACTGGCTACCTCTGGCCTCTTACACAAGCTCAAATCTCCTTCAAGAGGTATCTGATGTAATGACCTAAACACCTCCCAGGGCTCCACCTCTAAAACAGTCACACTGACACTGAGATTTTAACATATGAATTTGGGGGTCTGGGGAGAATGCATTGAGTCCACTGTACTGCCTGAGTGTCCTCACAACATGGCAGCAGGATTTGGGGTGGGGTGGGGAGAGAGAAAACAGAGACAGAGAGAAAGAGGGCACATGCTGGGAATAGAGTAGCCATTGCCCCATTGATACACCTCCTCCAATAAGGCCACACCTCCTAACCCTTCCCAAACAGTTCCACCAACTGGGGACCAAGCATTCAAACATATATGATCCTATAGGGGCTATCCTCATTCAAACCACCACAGTCTAGTTCCCTAGAATTGTTGACAAGTATTTATTTTGTCAGTGGATAGTTTTATTAGATATTTTTATTAGAAAAATAAAAATAACCACTAGAGCTTACTCTGAAAGAAAAGAATGAGTAAATCAATTATTGGTTTTGGCCTTGATCTGACACCGTAGGCTAATGTAACTAATACTTAACCGTGAGATGTGGCCCCTCCCACTGTGTCATAAAACCCTCGGATCCACTTCACCTTGAAACTGAATTAACAGAGCAGGCCAGATAAGGAACTAAGAGTGCTTAGCGAGAACAAACCATGCAAACCCATGAAACGAGGGTTCTCGTTCTATGTTTATTAATCAGTTTCTCCAGTGAAATGGAACCAGTAAGAGGAACGGATGACAGATAGTTCGGGAGGTAGGTCTTTTATGGGGAATTGGATAGACATGATGTAAAAAGGCTCACAGATTGATTACAGACGCCAAGAAATCCCATGGTCTGCCACCTGCATCCTGAGAATTCAGGAAAGTTGGTGTCAGAACAAATCAATTGAAGTCCAAAGGCCTGAGAATGGTGTGGGGTGGGACAAGCCATGCCCTAAGTCCTGATCCAAGGGATGAGAATGGGATAGGGGCAAACAGAGACCTAAGTCCCAGGCCCAGGGCACAAGAAGAGAAGAAGAAACGAGACATTTAACTCAAGCAAGAAGGCAGCAGAAAGGAGAAAATCCCCCATCCTGGGCTTTCTACCCCACTCAGGCGTTGGGTGGGGTTACATGATGCCCCAAACCCACACTGTATGAGTGCTGGTCTCCCTAAAACAGTCTCACAGACGGTCTTTAATCCGGGCCCAGTCAACGTGGCACATCACAAATGTTAAAAAGCATAATTGACACACAGTGACTGTAGTGCCTAATTATGGCTAACTGGCTTTCCTGGATTTTCACATAAAATGTCCACAGCATTGTCTGCTGAGATCATTTTTAGTCCCTTTTCCTGAGAATCACCTTCATTGAGAAAAGGGCCTGTAACCAGGTTACTACAATGTATCTCTACCTTGTGGGCCATGGGAACTGAACTGGGCATTAACACAGGACAAAGGAGAGCTAGTCAGAACCTGTTTCCTGTCTGTTTTGAGTTGGGACTGAGGTTCTAAACAGCAGTCACTGAGCAGAGGAGTTAGGAATACTATTGAATGTCCCTCTGCCTCCAACGCAGGACGCATGAGAAAGGGAGGGACCGACATTGGGAGTTTCTTATCAGACTAATCTAGACACTGTTGAGGTTTATCTGACCTTGGTGTCTGTGAGGTACCTTATTAACCCTTCCAAAAAGAATCCTATTTTGTTATATAAGCTGCTTTCTGAGGAGTGGAGGGAGGGATGGGGTGGGGAGGGGGAGGAGGAGGAGGAAGGGAGGGGGAACTGTGGTTGGTATGTAAAATAAACAAAAACTTTAAAGTAAAAAATCTGCTTCAAACATTGTGGCTAGTTTTAATTGTTAGCTTGATGCAATCTAGAGCCTCCTGGGAAGGGAGTCTCTATAAGGAATTCTAGAGTAAGTTGGCCAGGGGCATATGTGTGAAAGATGCTCTTTTCCGGCCTAATTAAGGTGGATGCTGCTATTCCCAAGGGCTGCTTCCTGGACCGAAGGGAAGGAGAGAGCTAGCTGAGCACCGGCATGCATGCATCCATTGCCCTAGACTCACTGTGAACTTCACAATACCAGGTCTCTCAAGCTCCTGCTGCTGTGACCCTCCCTGCCTTGATGGACTGGAACCTGGAATTGTGAGCTGAAATGAACACCCGTCACCCCTAAGCAGCTTCTGTCGGAGGACTTTATCACAGCAACATGAAGGGAACTAGGACACATACTATTTCTAGGACTCAATTATTGATTTTCTAATGGAACTCTGGAAGATGTTGACAAAGTTCTTTAAAGGGGTAACGTACTGATGAAGTTGACAATGGTGAAACAAGTCCCAACTAATTCAGTTGACTGTATGGAATGAAATACTTATTATAAGGGAAATTCATAAGTTAAATTTAGATTTCTGTTTTTTTTGTTTTTTTGTTTTTTTGTTCTGTTTCGTTTTGTTTTTACTGGACCCTAGCACCATCATAAAAATGGCAGCCCAGACTTCCAGGCCCATGAGGCACTGCTGTTGTGAAAAGTCAGAATAGACAGAATTTTTATTACTGGGATGACATCAGGGTAGATGTTGACAATTAAAATTTTATATTGTGAAAGTCTCTAAAATTGCTTTCCTTGTTACATATAACTCTTGGATTCTTGAGAATTCATTCATGATCTTAGAACCAAACCAAGCTCACACGCACTGCCTATTGTGCTGTCGCCATGGTAACCAATAGTCAAGGCATCAGAATGCATGGGTAGCTTCTGTTGTCCATCATGAGCTGGAATCTGCCACTGGGCCCTCTCTGGAAGAGATGGCCCCATATTCTTGGCCACCAGCTCCCAGGTGACACTGTTCATTAGGAACCTCAGCATCCTGGGCCTGTGGTCCAGTCCCTTCACTCCCCTTGTCACATTCCTGGTTGGAGAGAAAGAAGGAAAAATTTCATGGGCAGCCACCAATCTCTGAACTCCCTCTTGTAGAAACACTCATGTAAGAAGCTTTGCCTTTTAAGGAATCTCAAGCTTCACACCCTACTTTTTTGTTACTCAACTTATGAAATCCTGATTCCACGGGAAGGGGGTAAATGCTAAGTGAGGGTGTTGAGGGGCAAGAGGCTTCAGAAATGGGAGCCAGTCTGGCTGTGGGAGCTCAGTGCAATTGCATGGCTTGATTATAAGATGGGAAAACATTCTTCCATACTCTTAACCTTTGGATATTCCCTATAGGCTCATGTATTTGAATACTTGGTCTCCAGCTGGTAGCGCTGTTTCAGGAAATTGTGGAAATTTGGGGCTAAAAGGCCTAGCTAGAGGAACAGGAAACCATTTACTGGTTGGTCTACCTAGATGTAAAGAAACAGCCTCACCACCACCACAACTATGGAGCCATTGGCCACCAAGCCTTCCCTGCTACTGTGAGTCTGTCAACCTGTCAATCAATCTTCTTTAAGTCGCTTCTGCCAGTGTTCAGTCAAAGCAAGCAGAAATCTAACCAGTAAAATACCCCACCCATCTCAGAGCCTCCGGCACCCCAAGCAGGACTTTACCTACCTTATTTTGTCTTCTATGATACTCATTTAGCACATACTGGTATTTGGGTTCAAAGAAGACGGCAAATCTTTCACCAAGGAATTCACAAGCTAGAAGGAAGAACAAACACTAGGAGGAACTGAATCTATGGCTGAAGATTATGGTCAGCCAAGGTGCTGAGAGCTTAAATTTATTTGCAAATGGCCTGTCATACTACACTGGGCCTCTGGAATAGCCAGGACCACAGGCATGAACCACCATGCCCTGGAAGTTTGTATCATCCTAAGCCGAAGCCCCCATGAAAACCACTGTAGACTATTCCTTTTTGCTCTCATCCTGTAGCATAAGAGCATCTCATTCCTGATGCTCTCATCCTATAGTTTTGTATCTTTTACTTGCCCTGTGCTTAGGGCAGGAAACATAAAGCTATGGCAACTCCTTCCTTCCAAATCCTATTAACCATAACAATGGTCCCCAAACTTTCCTCAGCTAAACAGACTTCCGTGGTTCTCTCAGGACCCTCCCTTTATGTCAGTTGTCCTGAGTTTCCTTGTCCCTGGTCCCCGAGTTGTTCCTATCCTGACAATTGTGAGCACACATTACAATTCTGGACACATTTACTCGTCTATATTATTCATTGAAAATCGAATCCCATGAAGACATCATTTGTCTTTGTGTCTCAGAGTCCAGCTCGGTACAGGGCATGCAGTAAGCAGTCAGTAATGCTTTTTTAATGGATGAGTAAAGATGAGTTTGAAAGAGCCACATTTTATATTTTCTCACAACTCTAGAGTAAAAGGTAATTTTTCTCGATATCACATTCACAAGCAGGCACATTAGAAGGAAATGAGTCATTATACATTTGCCAATTGTGTCAAAAATGCCAGTAGAACAAAGTAAGATTCTATGAGCTATAAATAAGAGTACAAGATATCACTTATGTCCCCAGGAGGAGCCAATAGAGCTCATGTTTATATTAGAGTAACTGAGATTGGGGAACTTAGAAGTGCAGCATTCAATATTCTTTAAAAACAAAAAAACTGGAAGTTTGTCCAGATGAAGAATAAACTCAGGAAGGATTAACTGTTGGCTTCATTATTTGCATCTTTGACCCATGAATGAATGTGGGCTGATTTTGCATAGCTCTGAGGGTGATAGCTAGAGTGATGGCAGGAACTTTTAAAGAAGGAAATTTGGGTCAAGATAAGAAAACAGGTGCTGGCAGGCAATCTCTGTTCTCAAGTGGTTCAGTCACTCAGGGACTAAGGACAGAGTGACTCAGGAAACTCACATCCAAAGAGACCTGAAGAGAGTGTGAAAGCCTGATTGGCTTGGGTGCCATGGCAACAACCAGTAAGTCTTCAAGCTACACTAAAACTAATAATAATGGAGTGATATGATCAGAGGGAATGACCCTCCGTATTTTCCACAACTGTGGAGGTCAATGATGTTGACGTTACATTGGAGAGCCAATCTCATCCTAGTCATGGTCTACTGATAGAAAGAATAGCAGAAGGTGGATAGAAGGATCTCCAAGCCTTTGGGACAGTTAATACATGGACTTAGAAATGACCAGATTATCATTTCTGAATTCTGAGGAGTGGATGGAACAGCTGGAAGTCTGATCTATCTTGGAGAATCAATTAATACATAGCTAGGACAGAGAGAGAGAGAGAGAGAGAGAGAGAGAGAGAGAGAGAGAAAAGCCAAACCTTAATAGTTACTTACTAGAAATTGAATTGCTTGCAAATCGACCTGCCCAAAAGCAGAAGTATGATCCCCATGAAAGTTTAGACTGAAAAATAGAGAGAAACCAATTTAGTATAATTATTAACAAGTGGGCAAAAGCACTTGCTGCCAAGACTGACTACCTGAGTTCAGTCCCCAGGCCCCACATGGTGGAAGGAAAGAGTACACATTGTCTACTGGCCTCCACATGCATACCATGACAATTAAATAACTATGATAAGAAATTTTAAATAATTAATATCAAGAGTGGTGACTGATGATTCTTATATAGAGATTTCAAAATTTATTATAAATGTTTAATTTTCTCTCTTACCAATGAGAAAACTTACTAACCAATGGCTGTCTATTGCCTATATGTCATCTAGAAAGCAATCAAGGTGACCAAAACCTGAATTTAAAGCCATATTTTCTATATAATTTGTCTGGATCGATCTCTCATTTATTCCCCATCCTCCCACTGGTACTAATATGATAAGCTTACAGAGTCAAATGCTGAGTTCTGTTCCTCTTTTTCTTCATCTTCCTCTGTGCTGTATTCTTCTATGGTGTCTCCATCAGCAAAGTGGATAACCCTTTTGGGAGCAGCACTTTTATAAGACCCACTCATTTCTGAATATAACTGCTGGAGATGGCCTTCCTCCACAAGGGATTCCCCAGTTACTTGAAAACAGAATGCCCCAGGACAAGTTGCCCAGGGCAGTGTTTATATAGGGCCATGAGGTGTCTAGTTGTTTTCCATCAAGGTAAAGACAGAGTTCAGAGATAATCCTATTAGCGGTCTTGACTCTTCACATCCAAGAGGAATGTTCAGTCTGTGTCAGAATAAAAGAGATTCATTTAGTAAAAATGTGGTTATTGGATGTTCAGCGTGATTGCCTGATCTTTTAATCACTGTAAACCCCACATCTGCTGGTAGGAGTGAGCCATTGACCATCAATTTTCTCAATCATTCTGGTTTGCACTGAGATATGACACAGGGAACATTTACAAACACGGACTCTGCACAGAAGAAAATATTTGCAAAGTCTGTTTCAGTGAAGAAGCATATTTAGAATGTTGTGCCCAAGTCTCAAAGATTCCCCCAAAGATCACCAAGGAGACAGACCCACCGAACTGTAAAAGCAATGTTTTATTGTTCATCCAACCATGACAGGGACCCCGTCTAGCAAGCTGACACAACCGCCTCCAGAGGGAGTGAAGTTCCCTGACTACTGTTAGGTTTTAAAGACAAAAGTCACAGGATTACATCAGCAGGTATGGGTTGACATTTGGGAATAATTAGGAGGATTTCTCAAAGTCATATTTTGGCATGAAATACCTGTGTACCATTTATTCTCATTAGTCAGTACTGAGAGGGAATGTTTTGTGGTTTCTATGGCTTTGTCTTGTTACTTGCAGGTGACCTGTTCTACATAGATACCAATAGTTTTTAGAACTGTATCCTGGAGACTACAGGGGAGTTTTTGGTCTCCCCTGGAGTTTCTTTTGTGGCCAAACAGTTTCCAGGAACCAAGTACCTAGGAGGCTAGGGGTGTCTAGAGTTTCTTTGTGTTCAGTTTTGGCCCTAGGCTCCAAGAGGCAAGGGGATCTGGAGTTTCCTTGTGTCATGTGCTGAGTCACAGGCCTACATGTCTTTTCTGTAGCCTGTCATGGCTGCTAAAGCAGGGGGCTGAGTGAGGGTCTATATGTGAAGAATTACTATAATCCAGTATAATTCTCACATGACCAGTAAATTTTAGTGGACTACCAAAGATGAGTTACAAAGAGCAAATAAACACATGAAAAGATGGTTGTGTCGTTAATCGTTAATATTGCAGCCTAATAAAATGTCAAAATATGCCCACTAGCGAGACTAGGATTTAATATGACTAACAATACCATACACTGAGTAGTATGCGAGGAAATTGGAACAGTCATACATTGCTGGTGAGAAGGTGCTGTTGTTTAGATCTGGAATGTTCCCCAAAGGCCCAGGTGTGTCAGGTGTGGTCTCCCGCCTGTGATGCTGCTATAACATGGTAGGATATTTAGGTTGGGTCTGATGGGGTCATGTTGGAACATGCTCCATAAATGGATTATGCGAGGAGAATTCTGAGTGCTCGTGGGGAAAAAAACAAACAAACAAACAAACAAAACAAACAAACAAACAAAACAAAACAAACAAACAAACAAAACTCCAGGAAAACAAGACAAGAGTCTGTGACCTCCAGTTTCTTTAAAACACAGAATTGTTCTTGGAATGTGTGTTCATGCTCCTCCCAGGTGTAGTGGATAGGGAGTGAGTTCACTTCAGATTATTCATTACAACTGGCTGTTGCTATTTACTTATATTCCTCTCTGGAAAAAACATGTTTAGTTTTGTTTTGCCATGTGCAGCTTGTCCACCATGTGCGGCTTGCCTTGGGGTTATACATTTTACGCTGGTGCCTCTTCTTAGCCCTCACAATATAAATTGTCTGATGCTTTGAATAAAGTTGGCTACTTTGTGAGACTTAGTCTGCCTCATTTATTGGCTCTATTCTCCCAGGTCTCACCATCTCTAGTGTGGTTACAAGATCCTCTTCCTTTGCTTCCTACTTACTATTGTGTGACCAGGCTTCCTCTGCCACATTCCCACCATGTTGTGCTGGGCCACCAAAAACCCATGTGACCACGAACCAAAACCTCTAAATCAGTGAGCCAAAGTAAGTCTCTCAGTCACTTTAGAAAACCTTTTGGTGCCTGGCAGTGGTAGTGTAAGCCTTTAATCCCAGCACTCGGGAGGCAGAGACAGGCGGATCTCTGTGAGTTAAAATCCAGCTTGATCCACAAAGTGAGTTCCAGGAAAGCTAGGGCTGTTACAAAGAGAAACTCTGTCTCAAAAAAAGAAAAAAAATTGGTAAGTTCTTAAACACTAAACATACATTTACCATGTCCTCTTTTAACTTCTTCCTTTGATAGCTACCCCCAAAATGAAAAAATGTCTAACATATGTGAATATTCATATCGCCTCCATTTGTGAGCATCCCAAACTGAAAAGCAAATCAAAGCATCATCTATAGAGATGAGCAAGCAAAAGGTAGTTTATCTGGTCCATGACACGCTACTCACTAACTCGAAGTGACAAACAACTAAGACTTGTAACACAGTGAATGACTCTCACTCTGAAGAGCGTTATGTTAAGCGAGAGAAGCCAGTCATTGCATGGCGAGATTCCATTTATGTGTGGGAAAGGCAACTCATACACGTGAGGACAGCTCAGTGTTTTCACTAGGAGTGAGGCTTAGGGAAGAGAAAGAAAAACAACAAAGGGACCAAAGGGGATTTCTTAGATGGAAACATCCTGTAGAGAGAGACCCTGATTACATTTACTGCTGACCACGCCCATTTGCGTGTGGTCACAGGTACATAGGAGGGTGTAGATAAGAGCGAGGGAGAGCCGAGCTTGCTCTCTCCGGGCTGAGCCAGCATTGGGAAGCATTCTGGGACCTGACCGATCGGAGTGCCAATCTGGTTATTGATTTCCTCGTGTGAGTATAACTCCCCAATAAATTACCAGTTAATAACCTATCACGATTCCATTTGTGTTCATCGTTATCATCCCAATAGATGTCATGCTATAGTAGGGGTCTCCCGACTGCACACATTTATAAAAATTAAGTAAATGTGACATGGAAGTTAGTTAAGTTTACTTACTTAATTTCTTAAACATTTATTTATTTATTTATTTATTTGTGTGGGGCTGGGGGTAGATACACCATGGCATTGAGTGTGGAGGTCAGAGGACGGTTGGTGCCCTTTCCGCATGAAAGCTCCCAGGGGTTGACTTCAGGTAGTCAGGTTTGGCCACAAGTACACTTACTTGCTGAGCCATCTTTCTGCCTCTGATTTTATTATATTTAAAGTTCATCCCAGTAAAACATAAAGGCTTTGGTGCTGGGATACCTATATTTAAAAATCTTATTACTTAATATATGTCTGTTATGGTATTCTTATCTATTAGATAATATAGAATGATCCCGCACCAAGCTTTTATAGTTACTATAAAGACCTAAAAAGGTAGAACAATTCTTAGAAAATAATGTTTAATAAAAGCTAGCTATCCTTATCTATCATTAGCTTAGTAGTGTATATAGCAGGCACCAATGTTGTAAGCACACTTATTTTTTTAATAACATTTAATATATTTTAAGGTTATATCAGCAAGTACAGCAGAATTAGCTGATTTGGAATAATTCTCCTTTTTGTTCCAAACACACAGAAATCCTGGATAAAATTAACAAAGAAAAACATTAGCTCATAGCTGCTCTAGGAAGGGCGAGAAGAAGAAGAGAGGGAAGTGGAGGGGGAAAACAGAAAGGAAGAAAGGCACACAGGCAGGAAGGGGTGGGCTTAGTGATCAGAACTGGAGGAAGCAAAGCATGAGCTGGAGCCCAGGCAGCTCCTGGGAGTTTCCAAATCAGATGCAGGCCTTGAGGCTGGATGCTAACGGCAACACTGAGAGGAGAGTCCCAGTCATGGATGCCATGAGAATGAGGAGCTAAAATGAGCTACACATGAAAAACTAAGATAATAAAAATACTGTTGCAGCTGTAACTTATGAACTAAAGAAACTCTCTCATGGCCTGCAAGAGTAGCAGAGGAATTTACCATATAGTGGCAATGTTCTCTTGGAAAACAACTGGAACGTAGGCCAGACCAAATGCTGATGGACAGCCAGTTCAGAGTCATTATGTGTACAACGTACTATGACGAAGGCAAGGAATCAAAACCAGTATAACCCCCACAATGCTGCCGAATGCAAAGACAAACCTGCCTCGGAGCTATACTTGGACAAAACAGGGTGTCCTGAATCTTTGCTAAAAAACGCCTCTGATGAAAGCGTACTTGCAGAAACTTAGAAACCACTTGAAGAAACAAACCATCAAGAGGGAAGTACAGCTGACCAAAAGCCATCAGAGTCTTGTGTCAGCCAGCTTCCTGTTACTGTAACAAACTATTTGGGATACGAAACTTACAGAGAGAAAAGGTTAGTTTGATTCAGTGTTTCAAAAGGAGAACAGGAAGCAAAGAGAGATGGAGCTGATGGGGGAAGTGCTTCTGTGTATGTGTTTGTCTTACTGGATGATAAACAAAGTACTGTTTGGCCAATGAGGCAGCAAGTTAGGCAGTAGTAGGTGTTGAGGAGGATTCTGGGAAATGTAGTAGAGAAGTGGTGATTCCAGGCAGGAAGTGACATAGCAGGGAGACTAATGTTTAAGCAAGGAAAAACAGGAAGTGCCCCCCTTTTCCCCTTCGCTTCCTCCAGTAGCGCCATGTGATCCACCGGCAAGGGAGGACGGCAATGGAAAGCATCCAATAACATAAGTCTTATAAAATACATAGATTTATGATAATTAGGACTGAGCTAACAGAGGAGAAATCCTAGTCATTGGCCAAGCAGCATTTGTACCTAATATAAGTCTGTGTATTATTTTGTCCATCCACATGGCGGGCAGAACTCGGGCAGCTGGCAGAGACTGCCCACGTGGAGATAGGGCTCAGGCGGCTGGCGTAAAGCGCACACATGGCTGTGGGGCTTGGGTGGCTTTGGGCGGAAAGATTTATAACATGGAGTGTGAAAGGTTAATGTGTGCCCCCAGTGGCCTAGTGTCCTTTCACTGGGTCCTACTTCAAGACTCCACCGCCTGCCTCTCAACAGCACCCTGCGCTGGGCACCATGTTTTTCAGCAAATGAGTGACATTCAAGGTCTGTAACAAACCTGATCCAAGGATTAAGAATAATAAAATAAGTGGTGTGATGATTATTCTTCAAATTGACTACATCTGGAACTAAAACCCCAAAATGGGGGGTACCTGTGAGGGCTTTTTGCTTAGTCTAAGTAGAAAGGTCCATTTTTAATCTGGATTTTTGAGGTAGGAAGACACATTTTGAATCCCAATCTTTCCTGGGCCACCTCTTCTACTGGAAGCTGATATAAGGACATGGAAGAAGGAAGCTTTTGCTTTTTTGCCTGCTTGTCCTTGCCTTACCAACAAGTCCATTCCCTCACTGGTATTAGAGCTTACTTCTTCAGGATTCTGGCATATCCTGAAGACCAGCTGAGACATCCAGCCTGGTAGACTAAACAACTATTGGATTTTTGGACCTTCCATTCACAGCCAGCCATTGTTAGATTAGCTAGACTGCAAGCTGTAAGTCATTCTAATAAATCCCCCTCTCTCTATATAGATTCATTCTGTAAATTCTGTTACACTAGAGAATCTTGAGTAGTACAGAGAGAAACTTTCAAGTGGGTCTTCCTGTGTCTGCTGTGTTCAGAAAGACACAGGAAAATGTAGCAGCCACAGAACAGGTCAAGTTGAAAAGGGACTCGACAGAAACTCTAGAAATGAGGTACACAACCAACACAGGAAAGCTTGGGTATAAATCTAAGGCAGTGAAGAAATCCAAGGAAGCTCTCAGAGTATGGAATAAATACACACGTGCTTAACACAAATCCAAAGTTGTGAGCTATGAAACATAGACAAGAAAGCACAAGAGATGTCTTTTTGAAAGCACTGAACAGGAAGAGTGAGGAGGAAATGGCTTATCAACTGTTCACGATGGAAGAAAGAAACAGGCTTCAAACTGGGAAACAGAGAATACCGGAAGGGATGAACAGGCATGAAATCAGATATAGATAATGAAAATTACAGAAAAAAAAATGTTTCCTCATAAGCAATCCTGGAAAGAGCCTCATGTATGCTAGCTAAGCACTACTGCTGAAATACACCTACAACCCAACAGAAAATAACTAATTTGACAGAAAAAGAGAAGATTACTCATAAAGGTGTAGCAATTACAGTACTGGCCAACTTCAAGTAAACAGTGGTCTATTAGACAGTGAATTCCTGTCGAAAGGAATTCAGTTACTGGCAAAACAACAACTGAGAGAATGAAGTGAAAAAATGGTTAGCAATTCTTGATGTCTTCATTGAAAGATTGTATGAGTGATATGCAAGAAACAGAAATGAATGAAAACAGAAATCTCAGTAAATATTGATTCTTAACACAATTTCAGTGGGGACAATATGAAGATAAAACAGTGCTAAGTTATTAGACCATTAAAACTAGGAGCTAACAGCTTCTAAGCATTGTTTAGGGATATACAAGATAGGATAGATTATTTGGCATGCATGTGAGCAATTTAAAGATAACTAGAAAAAAAGAAATTAGAATGCATAATTTCATAACTAACAGAAGTAAAAGAAAACAATTACCCTAAAAGAAAGCAAAAAGGCTAAGCATGGCGGCTCACACCTTTTATCCCAGCACCGGGGAGGCAGAGGCAGGCTATTTCTGTGCGTTCAAGGCCAGACTGGTCTACAAAGTGAGAGTTCCAGGTCAGCCAGGACTACACAGTGAGACCCTCTCTCTCTCTCTCTCTCAAAAAAAAAAATGACAGACAAAACAAATGGAGACAAGGAAGGGAGATCAAAATTATGAAGGAAAGGGAAGTATTAGGAACACATCAGTGGTAGAAATACACGTTAATCATTGTTAGCATCCTTTTTAAAAGACTGAAAACTCACATTTCAGAACTATTTTATGAGCAGCACAGAATGACTGGGTACAGGTGTGTGCACACATCTGCACTCATGTATGAAGCCACCTGTTATTTAATTGTTTTTGGTAACACAAGTAACCAAGTATAATTGGTGCAATGCTCAGTTTATGCAACTGGTAAGATCAGAGTTCTAGGATGTCTGGGAGACAGATGTGCTAAATTCTTCTGAGGCACAATGACAGGATACAGCACCTTTGGGGATCACTGAGGAGACCTGGAGGGTCCACCTGTTGTCCCTGACTTAGTGCCAGTGAGCTCCACAGGAGCTCCAGGAAAGTGACAGGAAGTGAAGGTACTATTTGGTTTCTAAGGACAGTGAGCACTAAATAAATAAGTCACCATTTAAATTTGTTAAGACCAATAATAATATATGAATCATGATAGTGTTGAATAAGTAAATATACATGCCACGTGAAACAAAACACATCCTATGGCAATCCAAGGAAAATAAAAATTCCAACTCACCCTATGTTCTCCTTTCCTGGCCGTAATTAGACACCTTTGGTGTTCTCAGCTAGAAGCTGTTCCACAGAAGGTAAATTAATCACGCCCAACTGAGGCCACGCCGAGTCCCTGTGTGTGCTGACGTGGAAATGTTCTTGTGTTTGCCCTAAAAGGAGGGACTTGTTTGAGCTGTGGGAAGCTTTGCTTTGGTCAGCATTAACCAAACCTGCAGCTCCCAAACTTGACTTTAGAGTCACCTGGGTCTTGATAAAAGTGCCAAAGAGAAGCACTGCAGGCCACTTACTTATATTACAGTCCTGGGGCCCACCGGCCCCCGAAGTCTGTGAAGCTGCCCAGGTGACGCCAACTTGCAGGCAAATTTGAAGATCAGCGTGTCATACGAAGAGTGGGAAAAGAACTAACTTTCAAATTCAAACATTTGTGGGACTCAGTGAGGTGGTGAACTACAGAAAGCTTAAGCTTCAGGCCAGTTCTAGAATGTTCTGTGCATTATTTTCTAGGAAGGTTCCTTGCCTTTTACTTCTGAGCCTTGTCTACTTCAGTCTTATCAAAAACTAAAAATCTTGAATATGAAAGGTTTAAATAAGGCTTAACGGACTGGTTGTAGTCAACTCATGCTCCTTAGACCACCCAAACATCTCTTTCCAAACAAAGCCAACCACACCTACAGCCTACTCTGGATAGCTTGTTCGCCTCTGTGAATTACAGGCTGTTGGCTCTGAAGAAAATACTAGTCTCTGTTCTCTGTAACAACAGCACTCTGCATTCACTAGACATGTACGTCTTTGATTCAGAGGACTCCTAGCAAGACTAGGTGGAGGAAGACTGTAGCTCACAGCTGGTTTAGAGAGGGCTTTTCTGCCACCTAATGGGCACTTGAAAATATGCCATACAGAATTCACCTTGTTGGTCACAGTGTGTCATACGGCTCAATACTGAGCAATTTGGAATGTTTGGTTTTATTTTTGAACATCTTGGTAGCATTTCTCTCTTTACACCAATTCCTAGGTCAAAAGCTCCATGTGTCAAGTTTTTGACCTGTTCGATTCTTCAGAAGACCTTTACTTGTTTCTTAAAACCTGACTCTCAGGTACACAGTGTGGATCAGCAGACCATGTCCTGTGTCCAAGCTTTCAATATTAGACTGCCTCTTAATGATCTTTGGCTCTGTGGCTTAAATACTGTTAGCACACAGATGACTCTGGGGTGTATATATTTTACATCAGGGTTTTACTCTGGGTGTATTTCACAGATCTGCCTCCTTGCCAGCTTTTCTTGAATGTTAAAAAGACAGACTTCTAAATCCTGATTAGACTGGATCACTAAGCACACACACACACACACTCCACAATCTGTCTCTGTCTCACACACACCAGTCTGTCTCTCTCTCCTCTCTCACACACACCACTGTCTGTGTGTCTGTCTCACTCTCTCTCTCTCTCTCACACACACACACACACACATCAATCTTGGTAGTCTGCCTATCTCAATAAATGCCAGTTCTGTAGTGGCATCTTGCCCTGTCTGGTGGATTCATTTAAACCCCACCTTTACAATTCTATCAAGCTAAAAGCATTAGCCATTCTTGATTTCTCTTTAATCAAATCTCATATTAAATATGTTATAAGAAATTATCTTGCATATTTCCAGAACCCCAAGACCTTCTGCCATCAACTGTCCCGCCCTAGTCTGTATTATTGTAAAGGTCATCTTAGGTGTCCTATACAGCCTAGACTTAAAAAAAAAAATGCAGCCAAATTGTTCAACTGATCCTGTCACTCCTATTTAAACCTCTCCAGTGGGTCACCCAAGTCAAGGCCCAGTGGCTTCTGAGGTTGCTGTCTGACCTCTTATGCTATGGTTGTGGAACTCGTTGTTGGAGGATGACCAAGGTGTTGATGTCTTGAAACCACAGCAAGTGCGATCACCTGCATGTGACCCTTACATGATCGTTGTATTGAATATCTCTCGTGCAAGGGGGTGAGGAGGATCATTGGGCCTCACGGCTGAGACGCCATCCTGTACCCGTGGACTCCCTGCCCCCAGTTGCATGTAATCCTGCCCTGAGAGACACCATGTAGCTATTGGGAAGATAGGACATGCTGGGCGTTCTCTGGTAAGATAAGGCCATGTAGAAATACATAGATTAATAGTTATGGGTTAATACTTAAGAGAGAGATAGCCAGTAAGAAGCCTGAGCCATTGGCCAAACAATTTATAATTATTATAAGTCTCTGTGTTTTATTTGGGGCTAGACGGCTACCGGGCCAGATGGAACAGAAACACTTGTCTACAAAGTATGTCAAGGAAATTAACTCAGGAAGCACAGAACCGATGCAAATGTCATTTAAAATTATTACTGTAAGATTTGTACTGTACTAAATCTATTAGCTAAGTATGTGAAACACCCCCCCCACACACAAAAAAAACAGTGAAAATGTAAGTAAAATTGCTTTTATTTTCATAAATAAAAAGAGAAATCATTATATAAACACTGAGCAGAAGTAGCATGTGAACTGTCCTTGCCCAGTCTGAATTACATGCAACACTAATGTACAGTTCTGTCTCTCTACAGCCTTCATGCCAGTGTTTCATATTCGGTATCTCCCCAAATACCCAATGTCACTTCAAAACCTGATATAACGGGGTGTGTTAGGCAGCTGGTGTCGCCTCTTCAGTCATCAGACTTCTCATCTGACCATGTGAATGCTTCCAGTTGCAGATTTCAAACCTGTACTTACTGCACTGGACAGAAGCACCGGACACATTATGTGTTTCCATTTCACGAGTGGCAGTTTAGTCAGTCCACAAAAATCTCACTCCCTAGATTAGTGAGTAATAGTGCCTAAAATAAGTCCCCCAGGCAGAGCAAACAGGCAGGGGCAAGTATTGGGTAAAGTTTTGTCAGTAACTGGCATTTAGGCCAAGTGACTGTGGTAAGGGTGAAATTTAGTATTTCTTTCTACAGGCAGCAAAATAAAATTTAATGCCCATTCAGTAGTTTCTGCAAGTATTCTGAAAGCTGCAGCCTCAAATATTAAATAGATACTGTAAGCTGTAGCTAGCATTTCTATAAAAACAACAACAAAACCCTGATTCTATGTAGCTTTTCAAAGGAGTGTAAACTACAGTATATAATTTATTGAATACAATCTTGATTGACGGTATCATCTGTTCATTCTTCTTCTCTCGTTTCAATACTTTATGTGATTGATGTGTTTCTCCAAGGGTTGCTATGTGGGTGCAGTGGTTTGTCTAAGTGCCTGCACACTGGCTGGTACACGGTTAGCTCTCATGTACACTATTGTTTCTATCAAGTGAGCCACCTGCCACTTAGAAAAGAAGTTAACACCGAAGCAGAGTAGCCAAGCAGGGACATACTACAGATATGTGACTTGTCAAAGTGTCACAGATTGCTATTTCCTAGTTTGTGGATATAACCAACCCACTTTGAAGATCATAGTTTATGTCTACATCCTAACCTTTTGCTGCTACCACCTTGGCCTACAGCCAATTCTGATAGGCTATATATTGAAGAAAACCATGTTAAAAACACAATGTATACACCAAAATCAGGTAACCAAGGGCATTTTCTTAAATGCTTTTAACAAAGGCATCATCAGTGTGACCCAGGACAACCTGTCTATGTTAAGTTTACCAAGGCTTTCTTTACAACATGCATGCTTCACTTCTCCAAAACACACTTTCCATTCTTTTTACCTCTGTCTACAAGAAAACACCAAATGCTAGTACAAAACTTTGTCCCTTAAGTAAAAAAATTCATTAGAAAAGGTACTTGTAAAAAAAAAAAAAATCACTGTCTGGATACTGGGGGTGACTATGGGAGCACCGGACTGTGCAGGTCAGGGAAGCATATGCCAGGCAGCAGACTGCAGACCTGTCACTGCCCATTTTCAACTAAGTTCCACATTCTTCTAAACACGGATTTTCTAGGGAATTATTGACTGTGAGTGTAAGGAAAGAGTTTGGTCTGAAGGTTTTTTGACTTTTAACCACGATTTTCTTTTCCTACCAGAAGGCTGAGTTAGTCTCATATCTAACAAGTCATGAGGAGGTGAACCCACTTCTTAAAACATTCTTCTGGTATTGAACAAGAAGGAAAATAAACATTGTGTGTGTGTGTGTGTGTGAAGGTACAAAAACATTAACATGAAACTGTCTAGAGTTCAAACAAGGCCCAACCCCCACATACTCATTAAATATAAAACAACCCTTCCAAATGTTGTCCTGATTAAAAAAGCAGAGCCCAGAAACAAAAGTATGAAACACCTCTATGTTAAAAATCAAGAATAAATAAACAAAAGGCCAAGTCCCTCCAAAGTTAATAATTATCCTATGGGCTTCAGAGAAATCAGAAAATGTGAACTGAAGTCCTGCAGCTTATCTTAGGGACTGGCAGCGAGATTTCTAAGCACGTGTGACATCTTAAGAGACAGAGCATCCAGTGTCCTTCTGAGGTTTGATATCTGGTTCCTTTACAGGTTTCACTTCTTCTTCTGGTTTGGGTTTGACCTAAGGAGAAAGAAAACAAGATAAATATGCACATGGAGACTGAGAAAACGCACACAGATCTCCTCTGCTTCAGACCTTCAAGGATTGCATTGTAAAGAATGGCACTGAGGTTACCTAAACCATTCCAGAAGCTGCATTTTAAAATGCTGCCCATAGGCAACACCCCAGGGATGGAAACCCAGAGCCAGCAGGTTTTCCTCCTCTACATCTTTTAAGGAAGGAAAAACTTGGCAGTGGAACCCTAGTGTGTGGAGATAATTTACGACAATATAGGCTGTCCTTAAAGGTACTGTTTTAGAGGCTCAATAAGAAGAAAAAAATGAGTATGTAAAGGAGTACTTGTATGGGGAGGAAACTGTAAAAATATGCAATGTCACGGGAGGATTATGGTTGTAAAACAATCCCCACTTTCTGGTCACAGATCCCTAGTCTTTTGGTAATTAAACATAACTTTCCATGTGAGTTACCATTTGATTTCCAGCACCATGAAGTACTTAAGTATAAACAAATGCAAAAGCATCCTGTTTTACTTCTGGATGACTAACGGAGTGCTGAAGTTAAATTGAATCTTCAAATACCTAGTGTCAGAGGGGAATTGCTATAGCAACATCAATACAGATGACCTTCCCCCACACTCTCCTTAAAGAAAGCACTGACAAGCTGTGTAAACGAAATAATACTTCGAAAACGAAAACAATGTCAGTCAGTAAATTACACAGAAAGCCAGAAGTTCCTGAAGGTACAGGGGCTACTTCTGAGAGCGGTCTACAACTGACTAGATGAAGCACTGCAATAACCTAACTGAGCATGCAGACAAATACACAGTCCTGCTGAAGTAGACAGACATCGCAAAACTAGCTCTACATTCTTCTTAAAGGTCTGTGACAGGAAGGAAAAGCCCCGTTCTCATACACTGTCATCCTTGGGTCTCTTGGTGAGATCAAATGCAGCCAACGCTTCCGGTGTCCAGTGAGCACTCATAGGAGGAAATTCAAAAGGCACAGGCTCTACCAGCCCATAATTTGCTTTGAGTTCCAGTTGTGGGGCTTCTGTTGGGATTTTTTGAAAGTAACTGCAAAAAGCAATTAAAATGGTGGGTTTATTCATTTATTCAGCAACTATGTGAGCACGTAATATGTTCAAGACTAGATAGTATGACAGTTCTCTGCCCTGGGAGCACAGTCCCAGGAGGACAGATGACAAAGTCAGGAAGCCCTAGCAGTTAGCAGCACAATAAATAGCAGCTTCCAAGGACAGAAAGAATACAGAGGGGCAGTGGGCCTGGATTTGGGGACTCAGTCTATTTTCAAGGGAAGTGACAAAAACTGAAGCAGGCAAGTGAAAAGTCCAGTGTGACCAAAGCAGAGTATCACAGGAAGAATATGAAGAGGCAGGCAGGGACAAGAATGATTCTCCCAGCCTACAAAAGCACTAAACTACAGTCTGCACACTAACAGTCTTAGTCTTACTGCCCAAAAAGACCAGGCAGAATTATGCAAAAATTAAAATTTCCTACTTTATAGTTAGCTCAGACCAGTGTGAGACAAATTTGCAAAGAAGCTGATTATAAACACACACACAAACACACCATACACACACATACACCCCATACATCATGCACACACTATACCCCACACATCTAAGTAGCATATGGAAACAAAGTTAATAGAAAAAGAAGTCTTTATAGGAGTGAAATAAACTATGTTAACAATTCACATTTAGATTTTAAACCTATTTTTATGACATCATCATATGCAGAATAAAAGGCCTTAACAACTTTATCAGTAATTTAAAGAGAAAATTAATACTAAATTCAAATACGACTTAAGACAACTCCTTTTAGACTGGCAATAAAGGCTGTCACTAAAATGTGACTATCTTAACAATTACGAGACATGTGGTATCAGAATCAAGGAGTGAGCAGCACTCACATAAACCCATTCTCTCTCTGACATTTGTCCAGGGTGTTCTTCACAAGGCTTCCAAGCTTCCGAAAGAACAAGTGTCCTGACGGCTTGGCTGTCGGTCCTGGTCCTTTGGTTTCCCCATACTCTTTGCACAGGGCTTCTGCCTCTGTGTACACTGCAGAGAGGACAACAGTCTGAGAATGGCTACAGCCTGCCTGTGGGTGCTCGAAAGCTTTAAGTCAGAGACAGTGCCCTCTGCTGTTTTCACCTGCTGTAAAAGAAACACATGGCAGCACTGCTGGGAGGCGACATTTTCTATGGGCTCAAGGATAAGAATTTTGTTTTCTTTTCTCCAACTATCTTGCTTATTACCTTTCCTATTTCCTTTCATTAACTCTGCCAGAATCTACTCATTCCTTTAGGATGAAAGTTCTTTTTTTTTTTTTTTTTCTAAAGGAGGTTTAAAGTCCCGAAAGCAAAACTTACATTTTTCTGCTTCTTGGAGAGACCTGATCGCTTCTCCACACTTATCACTAGCCAACAGAGTCTGGCCATGGTAACAATATGCCTAGCAAAAAAAACACATTTTCATATATTCTGTCCTGGCACTTACACGCCAGATAAACATTGTCAGTTACTGTTTGGACTACCCATGCAATCCAGAGATAGGGGTAAGCTTCCCCCTATTTCTGTTCAAATGAAAGGCACAATTAGGTCCAGTCCTGAGGCAAAGTAGGCTTGTAACCATGTTCCAAGAGTAAAACCTGCTAGCTGAAACTTGTTTTAAAAATGAGGGCAGAGGAAAATAAAGGATTAAATTCTTTGTTATGCATATGTACGTATGTATGCTTTGATATGAACAAGTCGAGTTTGTCTCCTGTGTCCGTTTCCATCCTCCCCTCCCCCACCCCCACCTCCCCAGCAAGGTCTTCTTTACAGCCTCAGCTTCAAATGTTAGGGTTAGGGTTACAGGCACGTTTCACCACACCCAGGAAGGGCCACAGGGTTAAGAAAACTTTGTCAGCCTCAAGTCCACTCATTAAAATCTGTTGATACAGGGGGCTGGAGAGATGGCTCAGAGGTTAAGAGCACCGGCTGCTCTTCCAGAGGTCCTGAGTTCAATTCCCAGCAGCCACATGGTGGCTCACACAACCATCCGTTATGAGATCTGGTGCCCTCTTCTTATGCGCAGATGTACATGGAAGCAGAATGTTGTATACATAATAAATAAATAAAATCTTAAAAAAAATTCTGTTGATACAGACACTTGGTGCTGAGCAGGAATGTGCTGGAAAACATTGTGACATGTAAGGATAGAAATATTTACTTCACTCTGAAAAAGGTTTTCACTGCCTCTCACATGAGGAGAATCAAGGTTGGTTGTTTAATCAGCTGATAATAGCCTTGTAAAATGGTGCGCACTGGTTTTTCACCTAGGTCACTGCACTGCAGGGTGCACTTTAAGATTAAAATAAAACAACGGACAACGAAATCACTGTGTGCTGGAGGAGTGAGTGAGGCAGAGGGTCAGAGGCCAACTTAGTCCCCACCTGCCTCCACACTGTCCCCGCCCGCCTCCACTCAGTCCTGTTGTTTGCTGAGAGGTATGCAAGGCTGGCTGCAGGCATTTCTGCCTTCTCTCTCACTGTGGGGTGCTGGCATTAAGGATGCGCACTGCTGCATCCAGCTTAACATGGCCTCTGGGGATCTGCACTAGGACTTTACCCTTGCATCACACTTGCTCACAACCTACTGAGCCATCTTCCCAAACCACTGAGATTAGAAATTGTTGATACCGTCTCAATGGACAGGCTAAAACAACGGAGAGAATGAGAGTACAATTTGGGATCACACAGCAACTCCAGGTCTACACTTCTCTACATGCTCAGTCAGGGGACATTTCCTGACTGCTGCCTGTCCCTGGCTTGTTGCCAATGATTAGTGGCAAGATGAGAGAGCTGGCAATCAAGGGCGGGAGAGAGAATTTGCACCTGTAGGGTTACTGGGACTTACATAGGCCGTGTAAAAGCACATCTTCAAGTGAAGGTACTTCCTCCATTTAGCAGAGTACGCAGGCTCCAAACTGGATAAAGTATGATCTAAAGTTACATTTTAAAAAGCAAAATATCATTTCACCCAGTTTCACTGGAACATTTCTTAGTTCCTGTGTTCTGGTACTAAAAGCAGAATGCCATCTAGCCTAAATTTGAGCTTTCATACATTAAGAGGAAAAAGAACCTTATATACTTAACATGATTTATTTCTTATAGTTACATATTTGAACAACATAAGTACCTCTTCAATTTGATGGTTAATGTAGCTTTAAGTTGATGACAAAAAGAGACAGGACTACGGATTTCAAAGCAAGTATTTGAATCATAGCTTTAAAATTATATGTAATATACCTATATAGACAGGTCTATGTGCTACCAGAAACAACTCCTATTATTATCCAGTCAATCATTACTGAGCCGTTCATAAAAAACACACACTCACTCACTCACACACAACTCACTCACATATCCACACACACACATACACACACACACACACACACACACCCACACACACACACACACACACACACACGTCCACACGCACACACGCACACACACACACACACACACACACTCACTTGTCCACACACACATACAATGTCCACACACACACTCACTCACACGTCCATACGCGCGCGCGCACACACACACACACACACACACACTCACTCACACGTCCATACGCGCGCACACACACACACACACACACACTCACTTGTCCACACACACATACAATGTCCACACACACACTCACTCACACGTCCATACGCGCACACACACACACACACACACACACACACACACACGCACATGTCCACACATGCTCACATAATCCAAACACTTCCTCAATCGATTTTTGTCTTCCTTATTTTCAGCTTCGTTATCACTGTCAAACCTTTCTTCATTTGCTCCGGAGCCTGTAACAATTTCTTCCTAAACACCGAGCCTTCACACAGCAAACCCATATGTGAGATGGGTATTTTCTTTCAAAATTACAATCCAATCAAATCAGACTCAGTTTGTTTTGAACGAGACTAAGAAGCCACTTCCTCTTGCAAGCGTTCTCTAGCCCACCCACACTGGATGCGTCTTACACCATGTCTCACTACAAGTTCATCATACATTAATTTATAGCCTATTAATTATCATGTATATGAGCGTATTTGTGTGAGAGGACCGTGTATGGTGTGTGTGTGGTGTGTGTGTGTGTGTGCTATTCACCCTACCTGCTGAGACAAGGTCTCTTACTTCTGAGTGTGACTGGTCAGCAAGCTGCAGGAACCCCGTTGACTCCTCCTCAGCACTATCACAGGGACACGTCATCACGCTTGACTTTCTTACAGCCTACAGATCAAACTTAGGCTCATATGGCAAACACTTTACCCACAGAGCTGTCTCCCTGTTTTTGAGACAAACTGCCTTGATCTCACTCTGTAGCCTAGACAGGCCTTAATACAATCCTCTCGTGACAGTCTCTGGAGTACCTGGGCCACCACACCTGGCCTCTTATTTTAAACAAGGCAAAACCCCAAAGATTTTATTCTGGTGTGGTAATGGAGAAAGGAGAATCCCGCTTTCTTTCTTCCCTTTTCAGAAAAATCAAATGAACTTGAGAATCTAGGCAGTCTGGAAGCGACAACACGATGGCTTACCTGCTCTCTGGTAGAAGCTGGCTGTTTCATAGGCAAGAGCAGCGATGAGTCCCGGGGCGTGCTGCAGCTCAATTGCGCGGGCAATTGTTACTGTAACCCACACACAAGAAACACACTCTCTAAGTTCATCTTCATCTATAGCAAGTTCAGCCAGAATAGCTTAAGATAGCCTGATAGTACCTTTTAAATACAATTTAGTGTAAAAATTTATAGAAAATAGGAACACAAAAGAAAACACTGACTTTGTGTTTCTGACACAGTATCTTTAAATCACTAGCCACCTATTAGCCAAGCACAGAGAATTACTATAAAATAGCATGACATGAACAAGTACCCTGAAAGCACTCCATTCTGACATACAGATAAAAAAGCTTATAGGGGTTACTTTACTGATTCCTGCAAGGGATACATGAAGACTTCAAGGTAAGTTAATCAGTAGAAGGAAAATAATAAGCACAACACAGGAGGAAAGATGAGTAAAGGGTTAATGTTTGTGGCTGCAGCGGTGCTCACAGTTAAGATCAACCAAGTTCAGTGCCCAACATGCATTTTGGGAGGGTCACAACCACCTGTAACTCCAGCTTCAGGGGATTCGGCACCCTTCCTGACCTCCAAAGGCATCATCCACACACATAATCCCACCACATACACTAACACACACACCCAAAATTTAATTTAAAAAAAGAAAATCCAGAGATTAACATTAATTCTGTCAAAAAGATGTGAAATCAAAATCCTCCTTAATGGAACATTAGCTGGCAGGAGCTCCCTGGACAGCAAAGGAAACGTTAAGGATAAAATGAACCTCATAATCACCTCTTACAATCTGAAACTTAGTATGGCTAATTTTCTAAAAGAATCCAAAGCCAACATAAACATCTTAAAAACAAAACACCTTCAAGTATTTAGATACCTTCTTGCGCCTCAGCCTGGCACTGGATGACGTAAGCGTCTATGAGCCGAGCCTCTAAGTCCTGGCCCTTTTCTGCTGGTGTAAGAAGTTTGGGTATATGACTTTCCTAGAGAAAGGACAGAAAACAAACGTGTCAAATCTCACCTTAGCACTGCTGTCAGAGGTGAAGATTCGACTTATGAGACTCACTGGGAGCTAAGAGGACAGACTAAGCAGCGGCTGATGGCTGAAAGCTCACAGGCGAGGTGAGTACTCGAAATAAACTTTTATAAGAAACCCAACAGCAACATTTAGGTTATGGAGAGATTCTTACATATGCAATATAATGCAAAACATTTTTATCTTAGAGAGTAATTAGCTGCAATTCTCTTTTGTACTGTGAATTGCCTATTCACAGTAAGAAGTAGTGATGAAAAGAAAATGCTACAAATTCTACATCTAATTCAGGCTAAAGAAACACATTAAAGCTGCCTCCAAGAGTAATCAGTAGCTTTAATCAGTAGAAGGGAAGTTTCAGAGGAAGACACATGGTTTTTCCTCAGAGTTCCCATCCTATCTTCAGCCTATCTGATATAATTAGATTGCAGTGATTGGCTGGCCAGTGAGACCCAGAATGCAACCTGAGGAAGTTCGACTGCTCCTGGCAACAGCAGAGGGCAATGCACAACAGCACAGACATTCATTTATCTCAGCCACCAGGGCAGCATCTGTGCCGAGTGTGCACATTTCCCTTGTCACCATTCCCTAGACAATCCAGCAGGACGAGCACTCACAGAGCACTCTCACTGTGCTAGTAGCCAATCGAGATGATTTACAGTACACAGGATGTGCACACTTTTGAAAAGGCACTTGGGAATCTAGACTTTGGTACGGAGGTGTGAAAGGGGCCGTCTGTTCTTGAACCAACTCCCTACAGGCACTGGAGGGACCGTATTACCTCTTTGACACAACAGAGTTACTAACTCCTACATAGGGTCCAAGAATTAATGCGACACTCCCTGGCCCCCCCTACCCTGTCCCCCCCCCCCACACACTTTACCTTTAAATGTTTAAAAATCCCAGCTGCAATTTTTAGGCTTCGATGGACTTCTTTTGCTTCATCTTCCGTTATGCTTTAAGACAGTGGTTATGCTAGTCAGAAGATGAGCCGCATTTCTGGTCCTAACAGCTAACACATTATCAGAACACCAAGGCTGGGGAGATGGCTCAGTGGCTAAGAGCACTTGCTCTTAGCAGAGGACCCAGTTCAGCTGCCAGCACCCATGTCAGGCGGCTCACAACTGTTTGGGACTGGTGACTCTGGCCTCCACATGCATGTACGCATACCCACACACAGATACATGATTTTAAAACATCAGAAAACCAAACTAGTTATTTGTGTTTCTTATTATTAGTTGTTGCTGGAGATTTTATATATATACATATATATACATATATACACATATATATATGTATAAATATAAATATGTATATATTTACTTTTAACACTGTTTATTCTTTATTCTTTGGGGGCCTGCCACCCAGCTCCAGCTCCCAAATAATCATAGGGGTCTTAGTCTTACTTATGAATGCCTGCCCTTAGCTTGTTTTTAGCCAGCTTTTCTTAAATTATCCTATCTACCTTTTGCCTCTGTGCTTTTTCCTTTCTATATACCTGTCTTTACTTCTTATTTCATGGCTTGTTGTGTAGCTGGCTGCCTCTGGAGCCTTCCTCTCCTCCTTTTCTCGCTCCTCAATCTTTTCTTCCCAGGTTTCTCCACCTATTTACTCTCTCGGCCTGCCAGCCCCGTCCATGCTTTCTCCTCCCTAACCATTGGCCATCCACCTCTTTATTACACCAATTGGGTGTTTTAGACAAAGTAACATAGCTTCATAAAGTTAAAATAATGCAACATGAAAGAATGCAACACATCTTTGCATCATTAAACAAATGTTCCACAGCATAAACAAATCTAACACACCTTCAACTAATATTCCACAAGAGTTTTCTTCCTTAAAAAGAAAAAAATCTAATTTGACACTAAAAAAATTAAAAATGCACACGAAACATATCCCAAGACACTACAGATGAATAGAGACCTTGCCTAGAAGTTAATGCTAAACAGTCTTATTTCTTTCCAGACTGTTCTATCATTAACAAATACAAAATATTATGAATTTAGCTGGGCATTGGTGGCACAGTCCTTTAATCCCAGCACTCAGGAGGCAGAGGCAGGCGGATCTCTGTGAGTTCCAGGCCAGCCTGGTCTCCAGAGCGAGTGCCAGGATAGGCTCCAAAGCTACACAGAGAAACCCTGTCTCGAAAAACAAAACAAACAAAACAAAAACCAACCAAACAAAAAAACTATGAACTTAATACATCATGGTAGCTCCACACACTACTCTGCTCATCTGAACCATTTTATATCAGCAAACACGATTCATGCTTAGGTGGCTGCATATGATTATGTATGGATGAACTATAACTGACGTACCAGTTTCCTAACACTGTCCATGTTAGTTACTACAAAAGTTGTCTCATTTAATTTTATAATTCTTTATAAATTGTTATGTTCTCTGTGTGCATAGGTGCATGAGCAGAGGCCGCAGGACAAGTCTGTGGGCTCCATTCTCTCCTCCCATTGTTTTGTGGGCTCTGGGGTTCAACTTGGGCTTGCATCACTGGATGGTAAGCACCTTTACCCGCTGAGTTACCTCACTGGCCTTAGGCAATTCTTTAGTCTTCTAAACATTTTACATACTTATAAGCCTTTTGTATCTCTTTTTCTATGAATTACCTATTCATATCCTCTATTTTCAACTGACTTGATGGCATCTGTTGATTTTTAGATTCTACATTTAAAAATTGTTGATCAATTTTGTCACTGTTTGAAACCTCTGCTTACAGTACTTTACATGTAGCCAAATATTCACATTTTTAATGACTTCTTGGTCTGGAGCCTTACTTAGATCTACCACCATGGAACAAGATTATGAAAACCTTTTCCCTTTTAAAACCAGAACACAGAGGTTGTGAGATGGCTTACTGTACAAGATGGCAACCTGGCATACTCTGGAACCCATGTAAAGGTGGAAGGAGAGAACCTATCCCAAAAAGCTGACCTCTGACCTCCTCATACACCCTGCTCTGTGTGCCCCTCTCCCACCCCAAGAGCAATAAATAAAAATGTGCAAAACAAAGGTTAAACTGCATAACTGCAGTACTTAAGTATGAAACAATGACTCTTGCACTTACTTCAAGTGGAACCTTTTAGGAAATAGCCTAGACTTAAATTCAATATATTTAAACACACACACACACACACACACACACACACACACACACACACACTCATATGAACGCACACAACCTTTGATTTCTAACTTACTTTTCTTTTCCAGCCAATCTTGAAGCATATTTGGTATACCATAATGCTACGTTAAATCCCATGGAGATCAATTCAAAAACAGCATCCTGCTGGGCACTGGAATTAAAAATGAAATCATTAAGTTCTGTAAATTATGAAGACATTGCTATACAAAGCTTACTTGGCTTAGCAGATAAAGGCTCTTGCAGTTAAGTTTGACGGTCTGAGTTTAATCCCTTGGCCCCAAATGGTTGAAGAGAACCGATTCCTGTATGTTGTTCTTTAATCCGACACCCTGACACAGACATACATGCAGGCAAAAAACACCAATGTACATAAAATACAAATGAATAAATTTTAAAAACTCTTCACAGCCAGGCAGTGATGGCACACGCCTTTAGCCCCAGCACTCAGGAGGCAGAGGCAGGTGGATCTCTATGAGTTTGAGACCAGCCTAGTCTACAAGAGCTAGTTCAAGGACAACCGCCAAGGCCACAGAGAAACACTGTCTGAAAAACAAAACAAAACAAAAACCAAAAAAATTAACAAACAAACAAACAAACAAAAACTTCACAACAACAAATCTTTAATTCTGGATGAAAAACAGTGATTACACAAAGGAAAACAGAAAAAGTCTTGGAAAACTTTGGTATTCAGGACTACTAATCCAAATAATATGTCCAAGGAAGGAAGGAAGAAGAGTCACATAGTGAATGTCTTAATTGTATAGAGGCCTGGCATTCCATCATTCATCATGCCTACAGTTTCTCCTTTGTTCCTCTCAGTATCCTATTATCATTACGTCATCAGCATTCAGTTAAAGTAGATGCTCAATTCACAGAAAACCTGTATTGCATCTTGGCATGTATAGACCCAACATCCATTCTTCCTATTGTAGCACCACTCTGGGATTTGTGGTCTCCAATCTCTTCCTGTCTATTTTTACTGTACCTTTTTATAGTTATTTATCTATTTACTTACTTGTGTGTGTGGATACACATGTTCCATGAGGCGTGTGTAAGTCAAAAGGCAAGTTACGGGAATTAAACAAAGGTTGTCAGGCTTGGCAGCAAGTATCTTTAAACACTGAGCCATTTTGCTGGCTCCTTTTCTATCTGTTATTAAACAAACATCTATGACCACTGTAACAATCTACTTGTATTATTAAAAAATAAAAGCTAATGCCACAGTGATCTATTATTAATAGTTGAGTACTGAGAAAGTTGTGAAGGGACTTTTAGAGTCGAAACATGACTAGAAATGAGGAGAAAAAAATTAAGCCCATTTTGGACCGCAAATTGGATGTTATTAGACGGTTCAAGGTGTTTAAACTTAACATTTATATTGCCACAAAAACGGATTTGTCTGGTAGAAACACATTATTTTAAAGTTAACAGCACACACTAGCTTAAATCAATGTTTTAATTAGTTTCCTAACAAGTGAAAATGCGTACTGTTTTTCTTCTTCAACTACATTAGGCAAACAGTTAAAAGCAAACTTGGACTTAGGGCCTCATCAGCACTCACTCACCTTGGAACATGGCCTTGCAATGTGTCAGTCCACTTGAAACTCTGAACATACCGTAATTTGCTTTCTTGGGTAGAATCGCCCAGTGAATTTATGAAACCTATAAAAAGATGCAACGCATTTTAATTTCTGGGCCTGGTGGCACCTTTAATCCTAGCACCAGGAAGACAGACAGGAGGATCTCTGTGAGTTCAAGGTCAGCGTGGTCTGAAAAGCAAGTTCCAGGACAGCCAGGGCTATACAGGGAAATGTTGTCTTGAACTCCCTGCCCCACCAAAAACAATTGAGGTTTTATTCATATGCAGGGAGACACTCTAGCTCTACCCCAGGTAACCCAGACAGGTGTGCTGGAACATGCCCGTGAGGGTGGGGTGAGGGGAAGTCTAAGGTGCCGTAAGAAGGTTAAGGGGTCCGAGGACACGTGGGTGCTCTCTTCTGCTCCCCCTTCTTCTGCTGGCCCTGGTCCCAGCTCCCTCCTCCTCGCTTTGGCCTGCCCTTGGCTGGTGTATCTGAATAAAGAAAACCTTGCCCTATTGACTGCTGGTTGATCACTATCATTCATACACACAATTACTTTTTCAGGTGCCTAAATGAACTTTCTGGTATTTTTTTCCTTCCTACATTTTACATATCTAATAATAGAACATGAAATATATATATCAATTTTTAGTCTATTATATTAGAAAGACTATGTACCACCACCACAGTGTTACAGTCTGAGACCCAATCATCCCAAATATAGCCTGGGAGATAAAACTTTGTATCTGAAAAGTTAAATGTATGCTACTATATAGCTAGGTTTTAGAAATGCTTAAGTTTATAAAAATGACTAACCTTGTAAAAGTGAGAAATACAAGTCTGCTGCATTCTTCATCGTTTCCGGATTACAGCTCAAATCAGTGAACAATTCGAGGAGTCGAGTCCTGGATGATCTCAAATCACTTACATCAACAGACAGTAAAGCTAATTAAGCTGTGCTTCAAAGACTATGTAAAAACAGTTCAGAGGCTACAACTTAAAGCATTAAAACACACACAGATCCCCTGCTCCCTTCTTTACCTTTGTATCAATTAGAAAGAATAAATTTAATTAAGGCCAATGTTAGAAATAAATGAAGTTTCTAGTAATAATTGCTTCAAAAGTTGTAAGAAAATAAACTCAGTCTAGTTAAAGGGGCAATGCATGCACCCATTTGAACAATAAAAATATAAAGTGAGTTTTGAAAACAAAACTGTCATCCAGGCACGGCAGTGCAAACCTGTAACTGCAGTTTTGGGAGGTGGAAGAAGGACCCTTAGCTACAGAGCCAAGGCAAGGCTGAATCACCTCAGGTCAGCTGAGACCATGTCTCCATTAACATAAACAACAATCGAGTGTATTTAAAATTCATTCTTCATTTTTTTTTTAAATGTATTTTGTTTTCTTCTGATAGGATTTGTGTAGCCTTGGCTGTCCTGGAACTAGACCAGGCTGTCCTGTGTAGACCAGGCTGGTGTTGAACTCCCAAAAATCCACCTGCCTCTGCCTCCCGAGAGCTAGCTAGAGTTTGTCAAAGCCTGTCCCATTCTTCATTCTTTAGCCAATGGTTTTGGGGAAAACAGAAATTTAATGTACTTGTATATAATTTTAATAACTGTTTTGACTTTCTAAATTTGGCACTACACACATAACATCTATCTAACGTAGTGTATGAATGTATATCCATGCAGAAAATGTAAAACTGTGAGGCCATTAGGTTACAATACAGCTGCCCTCTACATGCTATTCTTCTCTGCAACAAGAAGGGTCTTGTATCCACCTCTTCCTAGGAATTCCTGTTAACCCCAGTCACAGTGACCACTACAATTTCGAGATGTACCTCCCCAGTCAACAGCTCCTTTCTATGTCTCCATTTCTCTCCACCTATAATAATGCTGGTCTCTGACCTTCTGGTGGTCTCTTTTGAGGTCTCTATTCTCATGTCTTCAATGACTTCCTTTCTGAAATCTACAGCATCTGTAATCTGCACCTACATCTAATCCAGGAGGCCATGAGAATTCCAGAAATCACATTAAATGGACATTAACATAAGCGGTCCCATCGCCGCTTCAGAGCCCCCAAATAACACACAGAGACTGTTAGTTACAATGCTGTCGGCCAGTATCTAGGGCTTCTTATTAGCTAGCTCTGTCTGTATTAACCCATAGCTAATATATATATTTCCACAAGGTCTTATCTTACCGAGAACGCCAGAGTCATGTCCTCTCCTCCCGGGATCTCATGGAGACTCCCTACTACATTTCCCAGAATCCTCCTTCTCTCCTAGTTACAGATGTCTGGGTCTCTCACTGAACCCAGCACTTGTGATTTTGGCTAACCCTGCTGGCCAGAGTGCTCTAGGATTTGCCTGTCCCCACAAACACCCTGCACCCTGTGCTGGGGTCTGGGGTGTACTATCCACCCTGTGCTGGGGTCCAGGGGCGCACCATCCACCCTGTGCTGGGGTCCGGGGTGTACCATTCCATCTTGCCCATGTCTCATGTAGATGTTAGGAATCTGAGCTCAGATCTGCCTGAATCTAAATTACATATTTCTAAGGCATGCTTTTCTCAGTTTGTACCATTTTAAGATGAATTTAACTTTGGGCATGTTGAGCTTTGGGAGAACACACACACACACACACACACACACACACACACACACACACACACACTCAGAAACAAAAGAAGGAGTGGGTCTAACATAGTGGGCATAGTTTGCCAACTCCTGATATCAGTTAAACAATTTATGTGAACCTCAGCTCAAGTGCTTTCTCCTATATCACTACTTTGAAGGCCATTTGAAATCAAAGGACTCTCTCTCTCTGCTTGGAACATAATTTACTGTCCAGCGCATTAATAATATTTATATCCTATCTTATAGTTCTGTTGAAATATAGTTTAACTCTGTTACTGCCTTAGCCCTTCTAGGACTCATTTACTGATCTGCAACTAAGGATGTGGCCTCAATGACTCCCAAAGCTTAAGTACCCCATGATTTAATCTTCATCTGTTGGTGATAAAATAGAATTTATCATGAGTATAATGTTAGGAATGTGTCACACATTTCGTATTGACCACGGAACTTATAAAGTACCTTGAATCACTACCCAACCCACACTGCTTAAGTTTCGCTAACACTTACTTGCAAATCTTTGAAGCAGCAGGACCAGTGATCATGCCATAGTAGTTAAAAGACACAGGAGCTGTAGCTTTTAATGGGTTCCTATGAAACCAATGGGTCATTTTCTCAAGATGTGTTCTACAGGCAGAAGGGACAGAAAATTGAAGGAATATTAAGTAGGGAAAAGGCACAGTAAGAACTGGCTATTTTACACGATATATACATTTTAAGAACAATCTATTATATACAAAACACACACACATATATAATATACCACAGATTACATCTATATAAGAAAATCAAGAACTTTGTTCATAATAACTTCAGTGATAAACACAGAGGAGCTGGGAGGGTGAGGGAATGGGGGATGGATATGTAAATTGAATAGTAATTAAAGAATTTAAATAAAAAGAAAAATAGATACGGAAGAGCAGTAATATTTAACTTTAAAACACATTAAACAAAAATCACCTGGAGGTAAGTCAGTCTTGCTAAGATGTGTTCTCACTGGTCTGGGGGAAAGCCTGAGACGCAGAGCTCCAGTCTACACTTCTGAGAAGCAAAGCTGAAACTTTGGTTGGATAGCTGCAAGCGAGAAGGTACAGGACCAGATGAGCCCCTTCAAGTTCCTGGGTAGGTAAACGCATTTAGTAACATAAGAAGGCTCCAAGCCGAAGCCTCAAACCTCTCATTAGATTCCAGAAGAAATGCAGAAACAATTCTGATAAGGCAAATATAATGTAAGGTTTTCAATCAACCTTTATTAAGGGGGAGGGGGGTGTGAAGGGGTACAGCGTTCTGAAATATCAACATTATGCATCATTCAGGCTAGACTCATTGCAAAGCCGGTAAAGCAGGTATTTAACGAACAGAGAATGCGTTATATACTCAGTGAGAGGCTGGGCAGGTCCACTTAGGACTCAAAACATTTAACAAGCCCTTTCAGAACATATCACCTAAACGGCGCGGACGCAAACCTCCTTCAAAGCCTATGCGGAGGCAGCAGCACCGGGTGAGTCTTCCATGCTGCAAGGACATTTGTGAAAACAAAATCTCCGCTACTGTTTCCTTTAGTGACTCCGCTGCATCCCGCAAACGCTCCGGTGACCCGGCACTCCTCAGATCTCAAGAAGAGG